TCTCACCCAAGTGAGAAAGCACTTGGGGCACGGGAGAACTCCATGAGAAGGTGGGCTAGAGTGCCAAGCAAAGGGTTAAGGGAGCTCACTGGGGAAACGGGCACAAGATTTGCACCACGTGCCCCACGTCTCAGGGCAGATGGGATGTATGTTCTCAGCTCTTACACATAAACTTTGCCAGAACTGGCTAAGCATAGGATGCTGAAGTGCCTCCCACCAGCACGTTTCACAGGGTTGTCTGTACGTGCATGTGCAGACATTCATGTGTAGAAAGCAAAAATAACCAAAAAGTCTCCAAGTGCGCCGGTTTGCGCTGTGTGGGGGCTTCTTCTCTGCCACCACTCCAGGTGAATGCCAAGGTCTGCTGCAAACAGACTGTGCTGCAGGGCTGCTGCAGAAGAAAGCAGGTTAGAAGGCTGAGGAATGGGTATTTTGTCAGGAAAACCATCTATAGGCAAACTGTGCTCCAGGAGTGGATTTACTGCATGTCCCTTTAAAAGCCCTCCCAAGCAGCACTTAGTCAGTAAGCAGCACCAGTGGCTGCCTATTTGGGTCTCTGTGGTCAGCAGATCATCTGGGATCTGCTGCAGCTGTGAGGAGGCGGGGAGGGTGTAAGGGTGCTAAAAGAAATCTAGAGAGATGAGTTCAGCCATTTCTTTCGCAGTCTGCCTGGCAAGTGGAGTGAGGAGGAGGTAGGCGAGCTGTGCAGCAGGCAAAGCTGTGCTGTGGGGCTGTTGGGCATGCAAAGGGAGTGGGATGTGGAGTTTTATGGCGGACTGTGGGTTTGTGAGAGTGCTATGAGAAAGGGGAGCTCTGGGGCTGTAGGAGGTGGTGAGGATACGTTGTAAGGTAGAGCAGAAATGCGTGTTGGTGTAACATAGGAGAACCTAGTCCTTTAGTGTAAATTATATTAGTCTTGTGGTCCTTCCAGATACGTATAGTTTAAAGGCTATGGGAGCCCTAGTAGGACCCTCACTAGTGTCATTAGTCATGTGCTCAGTGGGTCTGTAAGTGCCTTATCGAGCTTGGGAGGAGTAGGGTGGGTTAAGAATTAACCACCAATTTGAAGGTCCCCACTCTTCCTATCTGGCTCTCTGTAGTGTCCTGCACACCCGTGGCACAGCCAGTCCCTGAGAGCAATGGGGACACGGGGACATGCAACTTCCTCGGAGGAGGCTGCAGCACCGCAGGAGCTCCGTGGCAGGTGAGAATGTCCCTACGAGCCTTAGTGTCCTCAGGCCCTCCTGTAGCTGTGGAGAGGGTGTGACGCTGCCTCGGTAGCTTTGCTTTACGTACCCAGTTCATGGCAGCCTGCAGATTTCAGCCCTTGATGATGTCCTATGGCCAGGTGATAACACAAGTGAATAAATGTGCATCAATGCAGGCAACAGCCCTTCTTGAATACACCTGATGCTGGCAAACCTGTAGCTGTGCCTCCTTGTAGGAGCATGAGGTAGGAAGACCTTGTGCCCTGCCCTGTCAAATTTCAAGCCCACAGATTCCTGCTCTGGGTTTAGCAGAACTTTATTCTGCCTGCTTCTATGTCTGTGTGCTTCCCGGGGGAATTCAGCCTGCAGGGCTGAGGCTGTATCTGCAAGCATGCATTTGAGCTAATGAGAAATCATGGTAGAGAGGGGAAAACAGTATGGAAAACCTTACAGGCCTAAAGGTTTAAAAGAGCTTGATGTATTACTTACTAAACATTTACACTTTATACAACCCAGACCACTCCTCAGTGGGTCATGGGAGGGGCAAGGGGAGCAGTGCTTGTCTGCTGTCAAACAGCAGAGCCTGATGGGCTGATGAATTGTACTGGTCTGAAAGCATATACGAGTTCTCCAAAGGGCCCTCACCTGAAGATGGTACTCGATCTTCACTACTCCTCTCCAGTACTGGGACCCCAGAGACTGGATTGTGAAGAATTAATCAATGCCACTGCTCATAGCAGTGGTGCAGTTCTCTTAGCTGCTTCAATAGCAGGAGTTGTGAACTGGGCATGCTGCAGTCTGGATGGCCCTGGGCTAGCTTCCCTTCTCCTGATAGTCCTAGGGATGCTTGGCAGCAGCCCAGGCTTCCTGGGAGCTGTATTTCTTCAACTCCCCTCAGAAAACAACACGTACGTTTTTTTGTATAGTTTGTCACCAACCAAGCATTGGCAGTGGTGTAGCACAGTCTGCCACAAAAGTGGGTTCAACTCACATAAAATCTATCAGGGACTGGCTCCAAAGCTGGAAGGGTCCCAGGTCTCCTCCCCTGACACGATGTTAGCCCTTTAGCTGTGCTGGGTGTTCTACCTGGGTGTTTGAAACGGGGCCCTTGCTGTTCCAGCAAAGCCAGGCATTAAATGTGCAGTGGAGGTGTGTGTTCACAGTCAGCTGAAAATGAATCTAAAGTGTGAACCTGGGGAAACAGGTCCCTGTAGCCAGTGGAGGCTCTACAAGAGATGGGACAGAAGCCTTTTCTGGCCTGTACTGGTTTAGAGTAAGGCTTTGTTGGGACTGTGGGGTAATACAGGATAAAAAAGCATAGAACCAAGCCCGTAATTATTTCAGTGGCTGTTTTGGGCAAATGCTGCCTGTGGCTCCTGGAAATTCTCTCCCCGAGCGCTGCCGACCCA